ATTATTATTATTATTTTTTTTAAGTCCACGGTGTTGTAGAGGCCAGTCACTGAGTACACAGTGATCACCGGAGCAGTAGGGCGTGGGTGTCCTGGAATATGAGGCCACCTCCCATCCCATCCTCACGTCAATACTCCTAGCGCCCTGCGGTGAGAGAGGAGAGGGAGAGAGAAACTTACCTGTGGTGAGAGAGAGGCGAGGGAGAGAGAAACTTACCTGTGGTGAGAGAGAGGAGAGGGAGAGAGAAACTTACCTGTGGTGAGAGAGAGGAGGGGGAGAGAGAAACTTACCTGTGGTGAGAGAGAGGAGAGGGAGAGAGAAATTACCTAAGTAAGAGGCTCCTCCAATCCGAACGTTGAAGTTCACCAGATCTTTGTCGAAATAACAGTCAGGATAATCCCGCCGCCTTAATTCCATCTTCAGAGTAAACAGAAAAGAGGCTTCGCCCGCCGGGAGGTCGCTCAATGTTTATGCACGATGTAGAAAGGAGGAGATGACCCCAAGTTTTTGCTTCCTACTGGTCAATGACCGAAATAAGACCATTGCCTTGACGCAGACCCTCTTGGTTCTTATGCATGGCCTGGCTATAGACACGGACTGGATTGTCACCTACTGAAATCCTACATCCTAGATATGGCCATTGAATGCCTTCGCTTGAAATCCAACGTTTGACACGAAAGTCAAATGTTGATCATAACAGTCAGAGACAAATCGTTGCATAACGCTGACAGCTACAGATTTGGATCCAGGTTGCTTCTTCTTATACCTTACACTAAACGGGATACGTCATCTATCAGTCTACAGCCATACACTAAACGGGCGTCAATACCGAGGCTCCGCAGGAAAGTAAATTCATTGTGAATGCATAGCAGACAGGCCAAAGCGGGGCTCGACGATTCGCCGATTGGTATTCCTAAATTCTGCTTAACCACTTGGTGAGAGAGAGGAGAGGGAGAGAGAAACTTACCTGTGGTGAGAGAGAGGAGAGGGAGAGAGAAACGTAGTACCGCGACTTATCTGTTTTTTAACTTTTTGTTGCTGTGAGAAATGAAGGGTTGAGGGGAGGGGAGGGAGGAAAAAAAAAAAAAAAAAAAAAAAAAGAGAAGTAAAGGGTGGGTGGGGTCTTCAGAGGAGGTTCATCTGGGCCCGAATGGCCGATTACTGTGGGCAACTGTCATCTGGCTAGTATCCCAACCCTACAACAACCTGGGCTTTCTTTTTAAAAAAAAAAAAAAAAAAAAAAGTGAAACACTGCTGCTGTGCTTCAGAAGGCCGGCATTGTTGAGTGGTGTTATTCTTCATTGGGCCATAGATATATTGCGTTTGAGACGGGGGTTAATTTTGTGTGTGTGTGCAGAGTCTGCAGACGCGATTGTTGTGCCCGTACACATGTCACGGCCGCCGGGACGGGCTGGACCCTCCAGGCGGGGACCGGGCCAGCCCCAGCAGAAGATCAAAAGAGATTATTATAAAAAAAAAACAGGAATAGTAAAAACTACTAAAAAGTCATGACAGCGACGCTGGGCCCGGTTCCCAGCACGTGTTGCGGGTGTGACTAATAGGATGGATAAAGGAGATTGGTATAAAAATTAGACGAGATTTAAGGACTCAATAGGAAGCCGGGAACGGAAGGATCTAGACTAAAATAGTGTTAGTAGGAACAAAAAAGATGGTTGAACAGAGGGTGGAACTGACAGGATGTGAGGCCCGTGAGACTGCTAGAACGGCCCCCCTGGGCCTGGCCTTCCCTGGGGACCCCTCTGTTGTGTGGCTGGCCCCCCTTGTTAGGCGTCTAGGGCCACAAGGGTAAGGCTTTCCTCTTTTCCTCTTTTCCTACAAATAATTTGTAATGTGAAACTCATGCTTGCCGGTGATAAGCAACCGGACTGATGCCCCCCAGAACAGAAGGGGCGGAGTTGTTTAAAAAAAAACAAAAAACAAAAACAAAAAAAAAACAAAAAAAAAAAAAAACACGCAGTGTTGCCGCCGAAAATCGGCGGCCCTTGACTGGTCGGCACATACCGGTGGGGAGTTGTCGGCACTCCACAAAAAAGAAAAAGAAAAAAAAGAAGAAGGGGTCCAGAACTCCTAATAACCCCACCAACACCCCCAGTCTGGCCCCCAATACCCCCATACACCCCCCCAACACCCTCATTACCACCCCCCAATACCCCCTATAACCCCTTA